CAAAAAAAAAATCTCTCTTTCTCTCACAAATCTCTTTCCCCCTGCCTCCCCATTTATGTACATCTCCATCCTTTCAACTGGGCCATTATCGACTCGGCTACACACAGACTCGCAGCTACATTTAGTCTATTTAGATCTTGCAAGATGAAAACAGTCCCGCCAGGTAAGGCAGCTGATCGATCGAGAAGTGGGCGAGGGAAAAATTGGAGGACAACAGCCAACATGTAAAAGACTGAATAAGCCAGCGGCCTGAGGGTTAGAAACACTCTGAAACAGGCAGAGAACCTAGGGAGGGGCAGGTGACAAGCGGTAAAAGTCTCTGTGAAAAGACTCCCTTACTGCCCAGTGGTCAACGGTCAACGGTCAATTAGAATGCCTAATGAATGATTTTATAGGCTTTTATGACACTGGACAATGGGAAAGGGCAACGTACTATGTAGTTGCCGCAGTTAAAAATCGATGAGATAGTGTCAACATCCGGTGGTGTGAGCTCCTCAAGTTCTCATAGTAATGTAACAGTAGTCATCCTAGAGAAGTGTAATTTTTGTGTTGTGATCTTGTTTCCGTCAACTCCTGAGGCGAGAGATCTGTTAAAGTAATGGTAAGTTTTGTCTAGATTTAGAAGTAGAACAGTTTACTGTCATTTGACAAGTCATTAGATCTAACGGCAGTAGGTGTCGGCTTGCCCCACCTTGATCTCTAGATCTACTATAAAAATAGCACAGAATCGCTGGTTGTTTGTTGTATTCACATGCTAACGTAAGTTCATGAATATATTTCCGGATCACTGCGCATTAGATCTAACGTCTCTCTATGTCTATGCCTCAAGGCTAATATATGTAACAAACCCAGAGAGGCGGCAGAGATAAAAAGAGTAACTAATCTAGACTAGAGAATCTAGATCTAGATCTAGAATCTAGTTTAAATAATGTGATGGGCAGGGCTAGATTCTAGTTCTAGCTATTGATATATATATATATTGACAATATTGTAATTTTGTTTCTCTAGATCTAGATCTAGATCTAGATCTAGATATCTAGATGTAGAATCTAGAATAATATAGATTTTCTAGGTCTAGAATCTAGATCTAGATCTAGGCTCTATCTTACTAGATCTAGAATGATCTAGAATAGATGTTCTCTGTATTTTTCTCAGGAAAGTGGCTATTCTCACCCGCCCGGAAGTTCTCGCAAGATCAACTCCTCCCCTCTCTCTCTCTCTCTCTCTCTCTCTC